AGTGATGGCATTAGGGTGTGAGGTCTTTGGAGATAATTATGCCTTGGGGGAGGGCCCTATGAATGGGATTAGTGCCCTCATAAAGGGACCCTAGACAACTGCCTTCTTCTCTCTCTCCCACCACATGAGGGAACACTTAGAAGGTGGTCATCTGCAAACCAGAAAGAGGGCCCTTGCCAGAACCCAACCATGTTGACACTCTGATCTCAGACTTCCAACTTAAAGAACTGTGGGAAATTACTGTTGTTCAAGCCACCCAGTCAATGGTATTTTGTTACAGCAGCCTGAAGGGACTAAGACATTCCTCAGATGTCTAGGTTTTTAGGTACTGTCAGACAAAGATGTTGTTATGTGCAACTTCCTAGTTATAAGGTGGAACTTTAAGTTATATGACATTTATCTTTAAGAAATTAAAGTGTACGAACCTTTTAAGTCCCCCGGTGGTTCCAACTAGCAGCCCTGGATAAAGGGCGTCTCAGCAGCATCAGAGAAGTAAGTTCATTACCTCCAGGTGATAAGCTGCCAAAATAAATGCTTCACCTCCCTTATTGTTGGAAATGTCATTCTCTCTAAATTAAGTCCCTCAAGCTACAGTTTAATTAAGCTCATCTCCTCACCTAGACATGAAAATCAGATATATTCTAGCCTTCAGCTTAGTAGAATGAAAAGAACATTGAATTCTGCAGAACCAAATTCTATTCCAGGGTTTTGTCATCCGTGTGACTGTGTGACCTCCAGCTTACCTCCACATTTCCTCACCCTAAGGAGAGGAGAGGCTGCATTTGCTATGACATTCTGCAGTCCCTTTGTGGCTCTAGGTCCTGTACCGGGATGCCTCCACCATTTAGTACATGTTCATAGGATACTCTTGATTTGCCATGGAGCCATGGGAAGGTGCAATTAAAACCAGGTCCTGCCCAGTTACAGCTGATATGTCAGTGTTGGCACAAGCTGCAAGAAGAATATTCTTTACTAGATGCTTCCTTGAAGTCATGGAAGTATGTTTTAGAATCTCTGTTAAATGCACTATACTACAAAAGAATCACTAAATTAATTAAAATCATGTGAAACGTGTACACACACATATCCACATGCATATCCTGGCAGAGAGATGAAATATGGTATAGAGAGGAAGATTATGGGAGCAGGAGGCCTCCTGGGAGCATGTAGAGGTCCCAGCATCATCCCCTAGATCAAGCCTCAGTTTTCTCCTTCACTGACTTGCCCTGATGAGATGGAGCCACGGGCCCTCCTACTTCACCTGTGCTGGCCACTCTCGAAGGAGTAGCCCACCAAGTCCATGCAGAGAAAAGTCCACCTGTCCCCCTCCCCCCTTGCAGAGACTTTTTCTTAGCAGGAAAGGGTTTTTGTCACAGATACCAAAGAGCAAATGCCTGATTCACTGTATGCATGTTGGTAAGAAGGCATTTAAGGTCAATTGTAATCAGTCAATCATGGTGGGGCAGGATGGGCTAGTTCCTAAGGGGGAAAAATGAGGTGCTTAAAAGGAATTGTGAAGGCCAAGTTCACCCAGAGTGAGACTTCCTTCACCATAGCTGGGTGTGACTAATGGAAAGGACTCGAAGGTATTTTGGTCTTTGAACAGAAAAAACATATTTCCTCCTTACTTTTTGTTTGTGCAAGATAAAAGCTATGTTACTTTATCTTATATCTTTCAGTGTCTTTTTTTGACACTGAAGTCCTATGATTAGAAGCAGAGTCTTTCCAGGTAACATTTCAATGTTTATTCCTGGGTCTCAGTAGACAGACAAGCTGTGCTGTGAAAATTCCTCAAATGTCTAGGTTTTTAGGTACTGGGTACTTTTCTTGCAGGAGTGTTCCTATTTGGACTGTATTTAATCTTTTGAATCAAAATATGTAGTCTAACAAAGACATAAAAACCTTTTGGGATGTCTTTAATAGGTGCTTCAGAACATAGTAGTTGTTCTGCTTTAAATTCTGCTGTTTCTAAGAAAAAAATAAATAAATGAAAACTGAAATTCCAGCTGCTGTGGAATCGCTCAGCATTACTTCCTGTGTTCAGGCTGTGTGGTACAGTTGGCCATCTGGACCCAGCTTGGTGTCTGTTTTCTGCCTTGTGTTTGGTGCTTTGTTTAAATTTGCGTGCAAACAATGCCTGGTCTCAGAGGACCAATCTTTCTGTTTTCCTGTGAACTGCTCACTCTTGCTTCATTCGCTCTGTGCTGAGTTTTCCTGCTGCATTTTTGTCATAGACCACCTCCAGCTGACTGTTCTATCAGCTTTTGAAACTTCAAATTCTATTTTCTAATTTCACGTTTCTTGAATGGAATTCTTGTTAGCTAACATGAAATATAAGAGTCCAGCTAATGTCAGTGAAAGGCATCTTTTGACAACTGTTAAGTAAAAAGACTGCATGAAAGGAGGAAGAAGAAGGGAATTTCAGGTGCCGTGGTCATTTAATGTACACCATCAGCGTTTCTCTTCTTTTGCAGTTGAGATAATGCTTGACTATTTACATCATAAACTACAATCGCTTTTGACCTTTTGGAATAGCTAGAATTGCAAGTGTCTTGTTGATGGGAAACCTAAACCAATTGGCCTGTTTTCCTGGGTTTTCCCTGAGTCATTTGAGCACTGAGGGTTTTACTTATACACATTGGCATATTTCAAATGGCTCTTTTGTTACATAAGCTTATTTTGACACCTTCTTGTTGTAATTAATCATAATATCATTGTTACCTACCTTGACTTTTCACCATTCTTTATACTTTTTTATGTCTGCCTTTATCTGCCATATTCATTTTATCCATTGTATGTAATATTTTGGTTATCAGTGCCATACTTGGATTATTCTAAAATTAGGTGAGGATAAATTATGAATTGAACACAGAGAAACCAGTCTCCTTGTGAAAGTTGTGAGGAACAGTAAAATGTCTCAAAGAGCCCATGTCAGTCACTCTCCTTGTATCAGGCTATAAATAATTGCAGGGCTTTCCCTGATCACTCACAGTCCTCACACTGTGGTGTCCTCTTTGCCATCAACTCCAGACCCTCTTTAGGGGAGTACAGATGTATTGGGTGCCCCTCCCCACCCGTTGTCTCTTTTGTAGGAAGTGACACATTTTATGGAGCCACTAGTTTCCCATCCCACCCACCTGCTGTGCTCCTGGGAAGCAACCTCACACATGTGCAAAATCAAAGCTGCTTTTATGACTTCAGCCAAGGGATAAACACAATCTCTTCCTATGCCTCAACCCAAATTTCACAGGTGTACTGCACAAAGCTTCTTCAAATCCCCAGAGATGGTAAGGGATATTTCAAAATGTCATTTGACATTTAAGTGCCTATCTCTGATCCCAGATAAAAACAGTTGAGGGCATTTAGAATATGATCAAGTCATAGCTTTAAGAAGGCAGGGACAGAAGTATTACAAACAGGTAGTCTGAGTCAGCTAACTGAGAAAATCAACCTGGCTGGTCTAAGTGGAGTCATTTCCTCCCTCCCTCAGAAGGAAACCAGTGTCTCACAGGAGAAAAAAACCAGGGTCTTCAGAAGCTCTCAAAAGGGAGGTGATGAGACTGACAGCTCTGACTTGCCGAGGACTATCCAATTTACAGCGCTGAATGTCCTGCCTCAAGGCTAACCCTTCAGGTCTGAGCAAACCAGAACAGTAGGGCGAGCCAATTCACTCTGTCACGGTAACATAGCATTCACATACCATTATGACATGGGTAAACTCATTTCATCCTGATCTTATGGGCTACATTGCCTAATGATATATCTTAGCCCCTGATAGAAGGAAAAATGGAGGGACTGGAGAAGGGGGTGGGGAAGCCATTGTGCTTGCTACAGCACAGACAACTAGTAGTTAAGATTGTGTGTGTAAGAGAAAGGCAAGAGTTTTCCACTGAACGAAAAGCATCAGAAGATGCAGAACTTCTCCTGTTGGACCCAGTAGGTGGCTTCCGTGAGCCCTACCTGGGACACCAGCACATGGGATCACTGCTAGACCTGGTAATGAGCTGGGGAGAAAGTTTTTGTAATAAAAGGCAAAAGGACAAAGGGCTCAAAGGAGAGCTGAGTAGACCTGGAGTCTTAAGCCATGGATGAAGAACAGGAACAAGGGGAGTCTCTTGCAGCATAGGCAGTAGCGGTGTGGCCTCTTCCCCTTACAGATGTCTTCATTGAAAAGGATTAATAAAATCTCTTTCCTGAGCTGAAAAGTGGTATAAAGATACCACGCTCAGATTGTTTGTTCTTGCTGTTGAATAGACATCAGGGTGTCTCATTTTGAGGGAGTCCTCATGTGAAACTTACTTTAATAGTGTTCACACGGTGGCACATGTAGGAGATCACTGATGAATAAGGTATACAAACACCCTGTTTTAAATGCGAGTGTCTGAATGAAGAGAGCACAGAAGTTTGGATGCCATTGTGTCAGTAGTCCCAATAATAAAGTGGATTTTCACAGTCATCTGAAAAAAAGTACCTACATGCTCTACATCTTCGTGCTCACGAGATTTTTGTCACGTAGCACTGGCACACACAGTAACTAAATTTTTAGCTAAAACTCCCTAACCATTTAATTTTCAAACTACAGTACATATAATAGGAATAGCTCTGAAGTGGTTTTACATTTAAAAAGCTTGCTTTTTATTTTTACAATCGCCTCTAACACTCTGAATGTTCAATTATTGATTGAACAGATTGTTATGATTCAAATAAAATAAAGTTTTAAGCTGAGAATACTGACTCGCCATGCAGCTGTGCTCCATTTCGATAATGCTTTGGTTGTGGCAGAAATCTCTCCCCTTTTACATAAAGGAGCCATGGTGGTGAGCCCATGGGAGCCAAACAGAAACAGCATGCTGTTCTCACCACAGTCTGCCCTGGGAAGCCTCCACCATATTTCTGTCTCATTTTGCACAATTGCAAAGCGGATGTTTATGACAATAATAAACACTTCTCAATGTCTGGTTACATAAAAGGACTTATCAACTTTCTTTTTCTTCCTACAGTGCCTTGTCTTTGAAGATGCTCCCAATGGGGTAGAGGCGGCCTTGGCCGCTGGGATGCAGGTGGTCATGGTTCCAGATGGAAACTTGAGCCCGGACCTGACGAGAAAGGCCACCCTTGTGCTGAATTCCCTGCAGGACTTCCAGCCCGAGCTGTTTGGTTTGCCCCCTTATGAGTGAGAGGGAGGGGAGTGGCATAGAGCTCCAGCCCACTCCCTTGGTCCATCTCTGGGAGAAACAGAATGGAAATTGACAACTCCCATATTGCAACCTACATAGTGATTTTAGCCTTCTGAAATTTGCCTTTTCATTCTATGTTGCCTTGGCCCACTCTCTGAAGTGCTGATAACATGACTTGACAGTTAAAAAAAAACAGAGTAGAGACAACCCAGAACAAAGATCAAACTTGAATCACCATCTGAAAAATCAACTGATGTGTAGTGTATGATAAAATGAATAGACAAACATACATACAAGCAAACATACACCAGTATGTTAATATACATGTAGGCATGTTATGTGTGTGTGTGTGTATATACACATGTATGCATGCATTTATATGTAAAATATATACTTTTCCAAGACAAAATGAATTTATATTTGTGTTTCTTTTGTTTTTTTTTGAAGTTTATTCTTTTTTTAAAAAATTTATTTATTATTATAAAGATGCGGGGTACAATTCAGGGCTAGGTATACAAACATTGATCATGCAGGTACCCTTGTTGATGAGGCATGCCCCTCCCTCCTTGTGCAGCTCCTTTTGTTTTTAATTCTAGTTTTCCGAACACTGGCTGGGAAATTAACTATGTATATGTTTTTACGTGTGTGTATATACATATATATAAAACATCTATATGTATGTATAATATACTGCTTCATGTGTTGATGTTAACATGCAATAGCAGCTGATAAAGCGAGATGGTGATTTTATCTGAGTGGGAAAGTCATGTTTTTGATGAGCACTAAGGAATAATTTTTATTAGCTAGCATTAAAATTCTTTTTGTGACCTCAAAGTATCTCTGGATCTTTACTCACTGATGAACTCTGAGCTGTATCATCAATAGTGTATTTTTAGTGTGAATGTGGCTGTAGCAAATATCTCGTATCTACACCCTTAGCCACATTGGAGAATGTTTTCTACCTCAGAAAATCATGTCTCTTTTTTAAGAACATTGATTTTCTGCAATTCTTTTTTTTTTTTTTTTGAGTTGGAGTCTCACTCTGTTACCCAGACTGAAGTGCAGTGGCCGCTCCCGGCCACCGCAGCCTCGACCTGCTGGGCTCTGGCGATCCTTCCGCCTCAGCCTTCCAAGTAGCCGGAATTACAGGCATGCACTACCATGCCTGGCTGATTTTTTGATTTATTGTAGAGATGAAGTCTCGCTGCCCAGGCGGGTCTCGAACCCGCGGGCTCAGGCAATCCACTCACCTCAGCCTCCCAAAGGCGCGGGATTACAGGCTGAGCCACCGAGCCCGGCTGATTTTCTGCAATTCTTTGAAATAAAATTTGATTTCAGAATGTATGCTTGGTGAGACTAAGAGCCACGACACACTTTGGGAATAATTTGTCAGACTTTACACTTTTGTGATTAATCCCTTTTATTGATTTACTCAGCCTTTGGAATTTGACTGTGATTTGTCAGAAAATTGTGGAAGGCCATGGAAATGGGGAAGTAAGGAGTGCTATTTAGTGCTGGCTTAGCACGCCCTTCTCGATGGTCTCTGCCTTGTGTTGACCTGAGCTACCCTTCAGCTCTGGAAGTTGTAGACAAACTATAGAAACATGGGTGTGTCTGGTGGAATGATTGTCTGTGGATGATGGCCCCTGGCTGTTGATAGATTTTGCTTCATTTTAGCAAATTTATGTTCTGCATTCCTGATGTCCTGTATATGTCTGCATTTTGAATTCTCCTTCAAACCCATTATAATGTCTTACTGTTTCCCTCACGAATTAATTTTGTTTAATAAAATCTTTTGGTACATATTCATTTATGTGTGATAGTTATGACTTTACCTTTTAAAAAAAGAAATCCTCTAACAAGTGTAAAACATAAATAAGAGTAATTGACTTTTTTCTTTTTAACCCAAATAGTACTCAAGCCATCAAATATTTCTGTATTTTAAGTGAATGTAGTGCCTTTGCATACAGCAAATAAAGGCTCTCAATGAAAGGGTCAGTTGTCTGATTTGGTATCTTGTCCTTCCTACATATTTATGTTGATGTTTCCAATTATTCAGCCATTTTTCATGAATAAGACAAAGAGGTTTATTTAATGCATATTGCATCAGAGTAAGTCTCTTATAGAGTAAGTTTGATCTCAAGTGCATTATTTTTTTAACTAAGGCTGCAGCCAAATTCTTATACTTTTGTACAAAGGAAAAATACTGATGCTTGGCCAAAGCACATAAATTCTTTTTCATTCTTCCACATCAGCCGAATTCCTTCGATACATTTTAGTGATGTTACTCCACTGAATAACTCATTGATTTCACAGATGTGTATAGTGAAAATGTACACCAGAATGACACATGCCAGGAAAGTCCGAAGAATAATTGTATGCCTTAATAGCTCGTTTAAAGAGTGTCGTATTAGAAATATGCACTAATTGGTAGAATTTATACAGTTGTACCCTAACTAGCAGTTAATATTTGCTTATACATTGTATGCCCTGCAGAAGAATCTATGGTACAGTGTCTAAGAAACAGCATTATCATGCTCTTCTTAATTTCATATAAGTGAAACATACACAACACTTTTTTGAGTTGGAGTCTCACTCTGTTGCCCAGGCTGGAGTGAAGAGCCGCCACACCCAGCCTGACATTACTTTTAAGAACTTACTAATTACTGCGTATTAGAATTTTTTTCTACCTCTTAAGTCCTCAAATGGAGTTCGGTGATTTATACAAAAGAAAACAAAAGACTGGGTGTAGTGGCTTAAGCCTGTAATTCCAGCACTTTGGGAGACTGAGGTGAGAAGATTGCCTGAGCTCAGGGGTTCGAGACCAGCCTAGGCAACTTGGTGAGACCTCATGTCTACAATAAATCAAAAAACAGGCCGAGCATGGCAGTGTGTACCTGTAGTTCCAGCTACTTGGAAAGCTGAGGCAGAACGATTGCCTGAGCCCAGCAGGTCGAGTCTGCGGTGGCCGGGAACGTGCCACTGTACTCCAGCCTGGATGATAGAGTAAGTCTCTGACTCAAAAAAAAGAAGAAAAGATCTGGAAGATACCTGTCTTACACCTGAAAGAATCAACTTCCTAAGGAATAGAAATGAATTCCACTATGTATCCGTAGTCAGCGTTTAGATACTGCAGTTCATATTTCTTTGAATACAAGTGGCAGTTTGATGCTAAATTTGGCATTCTTTGAATGGTGTTTCCAAATTTTAAAAAATAAATTTGCACATTATAACAAGTTTTATAACAAAAAATAATGAGTTTTCACCTATTGTAAAAACTTTTATTTCTTTATTAACCACAGAATATCTCCATGGATTCTAACTTTTCATGAGAAAAACTTATTCAGATTGAATTAGTTTAAAAAACATTATTTACTAATTATATGCCAGCCGTTGTAGACATACAAAACTGAATAACAACATATCTTAGGGTATTTATGTTGTTAAACTTTAGTCACAAAATGTTTTAATTGGTTTCCAGGGTTTTGTTTTGTTTTTTTTACACTATGGTTAGCATGATGTCTGCACAAGAAAGGACAGAGAGAAGTGTTGAAATTTGCAGTGAGATCGTTATGGTGTCTGGTCTGTCATGATTGCTCCTCAAATAAACTACATTTTTTTATTTAAGTTGTTTTTGAAGGATTAAGTTCTTGCTTCTCTTTCTTTGGTTCCCACAGTGTGGTAGGGGCTTGTCATGTCATTTTAAAACTGTGAAACTATCACCTTAGTATTAAATCACCACTTTTTCTTGACTGCAAATGCTCATGATTTTCAAGTTCTACATGGATTTCAACAACATGATATATGAAATTAATGTTTTCATTAAAGTGCTTCCAAATATTTACCACAATGTTAATAATATCTTTCTCTAGGGAACATAATTTATTTTTAACACTATTTAAAACTCCTAGTATTCTCCAATCTCTTTGAGCAAGGATGAAGCCTTGGGAGCATGAAGTCATATACATTTACTGCTTATTTCAAAACCTTATCAAAGGGATGGTGAATTTATATATTATGCAAAACCACTTAAGTAGTATTTTTTGAAATTCACCTTAGGAAAGTATTAGCATGAATTTTATATTCAAAGTCAAAATAAATTAATAGATAAATATGTAACTAATATGATAAAGAATGCCCATTTCTTTGTAATCCAAGTAAATTAGTAAATTAGTCATTCCATTTAAAAAAGCAGAAAGAGATTGTCCTAGTCTACTCAAGCTACCATAACAAAGGAACACAGATGGAGCACAACAGAAATTGTTCCTGGAGGCTGGAAGTTCAAGTCAGCAGATACAGTTCTTCTTGAGCCTCTCTCCTAGACTTGCAGATGGTGTCTTCTCCCTGTGTTTGTTCTAGGGGAAACAAGTGGTCTTCTATGCTTATCTGTGTCCTAATCTCCTCTTCCTATAAGGACACCAGTCCTATTGAATTAAGGCCCACCCTAGTGATCTCATTCTACTTTATTCACCTCCTTACTTGACCCTATTTCCAAAAACAGTCACATTAGGGATTAAGGCTTCAACATATGAATTGGGGGGGGTGAACAATTGAATCTATAATGCAAACAAAGGATTATTAATTAACTTTTATCATTGTTTTAGAAATTCCAGTCAATGAATAATACCCTTTAATGTCTACAGATAGGGGTCTGGTGGTGATAAATTATCTCAGTTGTTCCTCTGACAATGTCTATTTGACTACTCTTTTAAAGGATGTTTTCACTGGATATTCTGGTTTGAGAGTACTCTCTTTTGCCTTTTAAAGATCCAATTTCCTTGTTATCTGATTTATATTCTCAGTTGAAAAACCAACTATTGGATTATGGTTGGTCACATCTTTGAAAGTGATTTGTCTCTTTTCTTTAGCTCCCATTCGAATTCTCTTTTGGTCTTTGTTCTGCTGAGGCTTGCCTTTATTTTGGTCTTGTTTGGACTTTATAGCTCTCCCTGGGTCTGTGGTTTGTTCTATGTATGACTAAACCTCTCAGCCATTATCTCTTCTAATATTCCCCGGCTCATCTCTTGGGGTCACTTGCATACAATCAAACAGAAAAAAAGGTGAATTCTGAGCAGTCCATATTATCAGGAAGTCATGTCCAGGCATGGGTTATGTCACCAAACAAGAGGACGCAGGGACTAGGAAGCTTGAATCAGAGCATATGCGCCTATAAAGTCTTAGATTTCCAAATTAGACCAGAAACCAGGCACAGTGATACTAACCAGGAGGAGACCAACCTTCTCCTCACCAGGAATCAAGCATATTAGTAGTCAGAAATCCAGAGAACTGAGAATAAAATCTAGAGGATCTGCCAAAGGCCCAGGACAGAGCAGCCGCACAATCTGTACCCCTGAAAGGAATTATTCCTTCACCTTTT